TGGCCGCTCACGCTGGCTGCTGGCTACATACGGTAGCCCATGGCAACCCACTGCCACAGAGGCTGCAGCCTATGCTGTCGCCGGCGACTCATGGCAGCCCAGCTCCAGGTCGAGCTGTTGTTCAGCATCTTAGCTGTAGAGGGCAGTGTCACTGGCCCTCATAAGTGGAATCCGAACCGGAGCCCTCTGGCATCCCAAGCCAGTTCTTAACCATCGCGCCACTCGGCCGGCCCTACATATATTTTTTAACTTTATTGGGGAACAGTGTGTTTTTCCCAGGGTCCATCAGCTCCAAGTCAAGTTTTTGTCCTTCAATCTCAGTTGTGGAGGGTGCAGCTCAGCTCCAAGCCCAGTCACCGTCTTCAATCTAGTTGAGGGACGTGCAGCCCACCATCCCATGAGGGAGTTGAACCAGCAACCTTGTTAAGAACACACGCTCTAACCAACTGAGCCATCCGGCTGCCCACCGGCAGCTCAGCAGCAGCTCAGCTCAAATCATTATCCCCAGTCCAGTTGTGGAGGGTGCAGCCCACTGGCCCACGTGGGAATCGATTCAGCAACGCTGGTTGCTCAGCGTTCATGCTCTAACCAACAGAGCCACCCGGACAGCCCCCAGGGTGTCTTATGTACCTCAGTCTCCCTTTCTGTCTCTGACCCTCTCCTGCACATGAGGCCTCTGACTCTCATATACGTGGGGTCCCCATACATATGTGTGCATAAAATTTGGTTATTTTCTCTTGCTGATCTGTCTCATGTCTCTATGATTATTAGTCCAGCTGACAGAACCTTGGGGGAAAGGGGTTTCTTCCTCCCCCACAAGAGGGAGGTGTCCCTTGGTCTGTGGGTCAGGGGAGGCTTCCATAAGAAGTAACTCAGAAAGTGAAATGGGCAGGTGAACAAAAGGCAACAGAATAAAGGAAGGGGACAAGACTCTCCACAGTTGGAAGGACAGCAGAGAGCAAGGACCGAGTGGCACTAGGCCTTGAAATTTACCTAGAGAGCCCATTTTGGACAGAAATGTGGCATGACCAGGTTTGTGTTTTCAAAGGTGGCTCTGCTGCAGTGGGGTTCAGGGGAGAGCAGTAAGATATAGAGGAGGAGCAGTGAGGTTCAGGGGAGGGCAGTGGAGTTCAGGGGAAGGCAGTGGGGTACAGAGGAGGGCAGTGGGGTACAGGAGAGAGTAGTGGGGCACAAGGGAGGGAGCAGTGGGCTCAGAGGTCAGAGGCAGTGCTGGAGATTTGGGGGAGGTGAGCTTAAAGGCTGTTGACCTAGGACAGCTGAGATACACAAGCTGGGAGCTGCATGGCAGCAGTAGAGGTTCAGAATGGCAGAGAAATTTGAGAAAAATATGTGGAAAGGAAGCTGGAGAAGACTTTCAGGTTCTGACTTGAACAGAAGGATAACATCCCAGGGGAGGAAGTGATAATTCAGTCTGAATTCAGTGTGGGATTGCTGAGTTTCAGGAGAGCCACAAGGAGGAGTAGCTGGACGTGTCTATCTGGAGAACAGAGAGGGCTTCAGGCTGTGGGGGAAATGCTTGTCACTGTAATTAATGAGGTAGATGAGATGGCCATGGGAGAAAGACGAAAGAACCAGTGTAAACCAAAATTAATTTTAGACTGTAATAAAGAATAAGGATATTTATTTGAGCAAAAGGATCTGCAGCCCAGGAGACACAAGTTCAGGTAGCAACCTAAAGTGTGTGTTCCAC